GAGAATCGTTACAAGCTTGTTGCATGCAAATTGTAAAGAAAATCTAATGACTAGATTTTCTACAAATAAAGAAAACCGGTTTCAAAGGCCTGTTTATTTTTATTCGTGTTGCCATGGCAACGGCACATACGTCAGCTTAACCATCAAAAAACCAAAGTTTGTGTTGTTAATTTGCTTGCTGCCATTTTTGGCGATCGAGAGATCAAGGGTTTTAGAGAAAGAGGTGAATGAAACACAGGTATCAAAAACTGTGTTCAGCCACCTTAATATCATCGACATGTCACTGAAACAGATTGTGACGCTTTCCCTGGCCGCAAGACGAGAGTATGTAAGGAATGGTAGGATAATTTTCCTACCATTTCTCTGCGGAACTTGCAGTAGAAGCCCCGTGCGTCCCGTCATGTTTATTTTATTAACTCCTTTACAGTGAAATGCAAGAAAAAAATTAAAACGTAGTAGAAATAAAATGCTGTCTGTGATAGAGTATATATGAGATTGTCATTCCTATTTAAGTGTTCTCTCCATGCAAAAATTATTCCTGCAAACAGGGGGGCTAGGCAGGTGCAAGACTATTATAATATGGGGTTTCTCATATATATGGGAGTCATGACTTTGACGCATAATACAGTAATTGCCGGATCCTCACCTTTTAAATGGCTGCAATGCGTTTGGACCGAGTGTAAACAAAGTATCAAAAGTGCACCTATTGAAGTTACCACCTACTCCGTAACCAGTACCCATTTAAACATCTGGGCGAGGAGCGGCTCTGTGGAAGTACGAACACAATACAATGATCCTCAATAGAGTTCCATTGCACCAACCACTGGGCCACCTTGCCTCCTCCTCCATAGGGTTGGAGTGGCGTTTACCTTAGGATGAAAGTTATTAAGACCAATATCCTTCTACAGGGACAATTTGAGTGTGTAGAAACCTTTTTTTAAGCCTGTCTCTGTATAAACCGGCAACTGATTTTACTTCGATTTACGATTTACGATTTTTCTCATAAGCTGGGATTTCGAGGCCCTTATACCTAGTCAATCGCTAAAATGAGTTTTATTTGATTAAAAGTTCTAACTGAATTTTTCTAGGATTGATTGAAGTTCGGTCCGCTTGACACAAGTTGCGTGCCTGCCGAAACTGGAAAATAGCACATATTGCCCGAGATCTAAAAAAATTGATATTCGCTCAAAAGTCCCAATTCTACATGAAGAAAAGGTATAAATGGCCGTTAATTTGAAACAATAATAAAATTTGTCTGCCCACTAGGTTTTCAAACTAACGACCGCTTAAAGTTCAGGAAATTTTGAAAATATTTCAGTGAGTAACTAGCATACTCGCCGTGGTAAAGCGCTCCGAGAAATTTACGTAAATCTTTTGGCAAATTTTATTGTTCTTTCAAATTAGCGGCCATTTACACCTTTTCTTCATGTCACGGTTCAGCAGTTTCAAACAGGTGCCACATTTATAAAACGTGCCTTCAAATTAGAATTATTTTCGTGTTGGGTTCAAAACTCAATTTAACGGGTAGAAAATCGTCTTTTAACCGTCGAAGGAACATCGTTGAATTATAATTGCAACATGGCTAACCAAACTGCTGTATCTATAGTTGAAAAATAGTTGGAAAAAAGAATTGGGACTTTTGAGCGAATATTGAATTGGTTAGGGCGCCGGCAATATGTGATATTTTTCCAGTTTCGGTAGACACGCAACTTCTGTCGAGCGGACCGAACTTCAATCAATCCTAGAAAAATTCCATTACAATTTTTAATAAAAAAAGAAAACTCCTTTTGGTGATTTACTAGGTAGGTAGGTAAAGTCCGAGTACGAGCCAAGTGGCCCATCAGGCCGGAGCTTATCCCAGTTTCTGTAGCATGAAGCGACTAGGAGTATTTCTACTCCCCCCTGGATGGGATGCTAGT